ATATATATATATATTTATATATATATATATATATATATATATATTTTTTTTTTTTTATTTCTCAGGAAATTCAACATCAGCAGTTCTAGATGGTGTTGCCATATTAACAATGTTACCTAGGGGAGAAGATTATACAATGACAATACCTTATGCTCATTGTAAAGGAATTCTTATGGGTACATTATCAATGGAATTAGGTGGAAAAATTCATATAAATTGCGAGAAAACAGGTTATCATACTGAATTGGAATTTAAACTTAAGGTAATATGGAATACAAAATTAAAATAATAAATAAAATTAATTAATCATTTATTCAATAGCCATTTCTTGGAGGTGCAGAACAAATGAATCAAGTTACAGGAGGAATACGTTTAGGCAAAGAAACTCTTGCTATTATATCAGGCTATTGGGATGGTCAAATATTAATTACTGATAAAAGAACAGGAGTATGTCTAATCAGATAATAGAATTTTGTATTATTTATTATCTATGAATTATTTATTATAATAAATCAATATTATATTACTTAATTTTACAGCAAGAAAATGTATTTTTTAATCCTACTCCAGAAGTACGTAAAAGAAGATTAAAAAAATATACTGTACCTTTGGAACATCAAGGTCTGTGGGAAAGTGAGAAATTATGGTATGATGTTACGCAAGCAATCAATCGAGACGATCAAATTGCTGCCACTGAAGCAAAAACTCAATTAGAAGAAGCTCAGAGAGAGCGTGCTAAAGAACGAAAACTTAAAGGACAGGAATGGGTTCCTAAACACTTTGTTCAGGTATTATATATTAATAAAATTAAATAATTGAAATTTTCAAAAATATTCAAAAATAAACTATTCAAAAATATCATTTTTTCATATCAATAGGATATTATAACTGGTAATTGGGTTTATCGACATGCAGATGTTCGACCATGGGATCCTAGAAATGATGTTGTACAATATGAACAAGATTATATAGTACGTACAAAAACTAGACACAAGACACCGATTATGCGTACTGGCAGTATCGTTTCTACTGAACCACAAACACAGGTATAAGAATGTAAAAATTAATAAAATAAATTGCATCCTAATAATTTATTTTATATTTTAATAATTTAACATGTAACGTAAATAATATTAAAATCGTTTCTAATTATTAATTGTATATCAAAGAATAATTCATTTCACTTTTTCTTATACAAAATAAGATATTTTGAAAATATATATTTTATGTTACAGGTTCCACTTCTTCAAGCTGAATCACGTTCATCACTTTCTGTATTAAAATCTTCTAAAAGACAATTATCTAATAATTTAGCAGAAACTGCTCATGATTCTGGAAGTTCCTCTGCAGAGGTACATTCAGATTCTAGTCAATCAATAGGTAAAAGGAAACGCTCTACTGCAAGGTAAATTATTTAATATTTTTTCAATTTTTTATTACAATTTTATTACAATAATATTCGATATTTCTAATAAATTCTAATCAAAAAGATATTGTATTTTCAGGATTATAGATGTTATTAAAGAATTAGAACGACAAATGTTAGAATATGGTGATAAATTAAATCGTATACAACATATATTAGAGCAACTTGCTATAAGACAAAGAGAACAGGGTGATCAATATCATAGTATAAATATGTTGAAAAGCTTCATAGATACGATTCTTGTTATTGTAATAGTTTTTTCTGTACAATACTTTGTAAAAATATGGACCGACGAATCTAGTGGAGGTTGAAAATATGCTAATAAGATCGTAGTATAAATTGTATATATTATTTATCTTATCTCAATTCGAATTATCAGCTTCTGTGTAAAAAAAAATCTTGAAAAGTTTTGAAATTTAAAATAGTTAATTCAAACGTATTTTTGATGGAAGTAAAAAACACGTTGTTTTTTATTAATGCATTAAAAAATAGAGTAAAAAAGTTACAGATATAAACATATATATTCAGGTCAATCACAGTGCAATGTTATTTAGCTTTTGTTATTTTAATTACTGATGATACATTCATTATATAAATTTAGCCTGTTCTAGTAATTACTTATATAATAATGTAATATTTTTAGTCTTTGTTAATTGTTTTTCACAACAATTAACAAACATGATAAAAGAATTAAATTTTTTTGAGCTTATGTATATAATATTTTATGTGCTAATGCACAAGAAAATAATTATATATTTATTCAGAAATTCTAATAATGTTGTAGTATTTATTGCAGGCGCTCAATAGTAAAGTGTATTTATGATAATAATAAGATTACTATAAAAATATAGTAATGTAACATGTACATTACTATGAATTTGATTATCTTGGAATTATCGCGATATAAAACAAAGCTAATTGCAGTTTCAAGAGAAATATAATAAATTCAATTTAGAGAATAAATTCAATTTTATAGTGGCTATCAAGAAATTGTATCTTGAAAATATTAAATAGTCATCAGTTTTATTGGTATTAACAAAAATAAATTCCTTATAAAGTAAAAATCAAATTTTAATAATTATTCGCGTATGAAATAAGAATACGTCCAAAATATTAATACATAATTTAAATCCATAAATTTATTTTGTATTATTTGCATCTTTATATTGATAAATATATTATGATGCATTTGGATAGAAACTGTTTTTATATTTAGAGTAATTTTTATTAATAATATTTTTATTTAATAATTTAAATTTTTAAATATATTTACAAATATAATAATATAATTTTATAAATATATTTATAAAATTGTATTTTATAATTTATTATTAATATTTCTTGAGATATTATTATTTTCAAATTTTATTTTGAAAATTAATTAAATATAATAATAAAAGTATATCTTGAACATTATATATTAGTAATTATATTATTAAAATAACAATTTATAATGGATGATTTTCAAAGTTAACTATGTCATATCAAGCTAAATATCGATAATATATACAACAAATATATCATTAATTCTGTATCAATTCTATATAAATTTTAAATTGACTTTTTATATTAGTATATCAAGATAAAACATTCAAGTAACAATTAATTTTTTTTTCTTCTGTAAAAAAAGAAAAATTAGTATCCAAATATCCCTCTCATTTTGATTAATATTATATATTATATTTTAATCAAACAAATAATAGAAAACTTTTTATAAATAATGAAGCATTTATTATTAGTGTAAAACTATTCTTTTTATAAATACTAATATAATCTACATATTATATAAAATTTTAGCATCATGTTATAATTCTTTTTGATAAAAATTGTTTGTTTTTCTAATATTTCTAATAATATATATTAACATATATTTTTTTACTGATGACACATATTTGATACAATTTATTAAAGTCTAATTTCATTAGATATGTTTTTTTTTTTTAAATGAATGAAACATTCCTTAATTATATATCTCTATCTACTTCTATTTATATAAAAATCTTTATATAAAAATTACAAAGTATTCACTCACAATTTTTTAAAATACTGCAATTAGCTAAATTTATTTTTTTACATAAATTCATATATAAATTATTAAATTTCATAATTTAAATTTATTTATTGGATATTTAAAAAAAATTGATATTTAAATATAGTTTTATCTATCTAATTTATTTTGCACAAAAATTTAGACTTGTTTCCTGTTTACACTATTTCTATTATTTAATTTTACATATATTATTATTATAAATTCATTGTTAAAATTAAGTGTTTTTTGATATATCTGGATAAAAATTTAATATCAAGAAAAAAAAAATTTTATTAGATTATATTAATATTGATTAATTATTTTTTGTAATATTTATCACATTGTAAAATATTTTCCATAGAGTACCTGATATTTTTATATTACAACATATTTAAATTTAAGTTAAAAAAATTATAAATATTGAAATATTTGAATTTTTTATGATAATTTGATGTTTTAAGTATTAAAATTATCAAATACAAAAATTGAAATATTGAAAGAATGATTATCTTAATATCTAATATTCTTATATTATAAATT